TAGATAGTAAGTTTGCCTATGAACAATTCCAGATTGTTAAATGAAACCTGCAGTACAACATTTTGGACTCATTGACATGGGTACACTGCTAACTCCCAGCTCAATAGACCAGTCCTGCCTGTAAAGTAGTATCAGTTGCTTCATATATGTATACTGCAATTCTAATTCCAGAGGTTTCTAAAATATTTTGTAAATGTAGGTACATGTGCAGCTGAACGCAGAATGGTGAAATGCTAGCATTCAAAATGTTGCAAAAAAGCTTCCTGGGACTAATAATAGCTTGAAACCGAGTGTTGTCTTATAGGGCAGCCTGCAGGATAAGACTCCTAGGGACTTTTAATAGTTACACTCATAAAATAACACTACATACTGAATTACCTGATTCCCTTAGCTCCCCCACCAGTACATGCAGCTGAATAATTGTCCGATTTAGCTCAGTAGTGGCTGTTTCCATCCGACTCTGCATGCTCAGCACTATCTCTGTGAGATCAGAATGTGTCACTATACTATATTCTGCAAAGGTCAAAACAATCTTTTCTAATAACGACAATACGACCTCCTCAGTTACAAAGGAGTAGAAGAGTTTAAATATGCCATTTCCTTTCTGTATTTTTATTCAAGGTGTGTCGTGTTTGGACCTCTAATACATGTTTCTGTACTTAGTTTGTCCTAAAATAAATATTTTGATAATATGAAAGTATCCCATTGAATTATATGTGTATATTCTTGTAAGCCTGCTAATTTCATTTTTATTAACAATTGCTGTAAGCTGTGGGTTTTTTACTATTAGTTGAAGCTGTGCTGTATAACGTAATAGGTGGAAAAGTTATTTGGCAGTCACTAGTGGTAAGATAATACTTTGTGAAACTGCAGTTACCTTAACTTCCTTTGAATATAGACATATATTGGCTCTGTATTAATCTCTGTGAATCCTTTCAAGCAAATGCCGTATTTTGGGGAAAAGGAAATTGAAATGTACCAAGGAGCAGTAAGTAAAGCAGCTTAAAATGTACTGCAGTATTCAGGGGCATGTAAATGTTATTCTACACGGTTACACTCTTGGAAGCACTTGTTTCTGGGTTTTGGTAGTGTTGTACTAGCTCGGGAGAACTTGGCTGATATCCATTACCATATATTGAGTCTTCAAATTGAATTCCCTGGAACATAGGACTAGTATTTCAAGAAAATACTTGTATTGATTAGCTCCTAATCCATATCAGGTTTCTTTCCTTGACACGTCCCTCTTCCTGTGAAAGCAGTTTTTAAGCTATTGTATGCTTAAAGTGTGGTGCACGATACAAAATGGCCATTAGTGGATTTGGAGACTATGACTTGAGAACTCTCAAACTAGACAAGAACAATAAAAAAATTGAGATGCCAAAATTACATGCCACTTTTGAAAATACAGCTTGAAGAGTGAGCCAGCACAGGGACATTAGGGACTTAAAACTCTGTTTTCTGCTTTGTGTGAGTTGGGCATGTCCATAGATTCGGGAAAGCATTTGGTTTGAATGGACTCAGTGGATGAAAATGAGACATACAGCATCAGGCTCTGTGTAGTGGTTTAGGTAGTTTATTGTTAGCATATGACCACTGGTGGAATAGGCTTAAATTATGTGAGTTTCTCTTGGACGAGTAATGTATTTCAAGCACAGACCATTTTTAGAACAGGGTGTTTACGATAGTTTAGGAGAAAATTATGGATGAGAGAAAGCTCAGTAACAAAACCCAGAGACTTTGGTTTGTTTTTATTAAACAAACAAAAAAAATTCCTGGGGAAAATTCAGTATAAAGTGGGATTCAGAATTGTTTTTCCAGGAAAATAATTCTTTCAATTTAAATAAAAATTTATATTGCTCTTTCTGTGTTGTTTAATGCTGTGTTGAAAAATTATTCTCTATTTCCCCTCCTAGGCACAATATGAAAACCCACCACATATTTATGCTCTTGCAGACAGCATGTACAGAAACATGATTATTGACAGAGAAAATCAATGTGTCATTATCAGGTAAGATGATCTGTAAAAAAATATTTTATCATCTTCTTTTGGTGTGTTGACTTCAAGAAGCAGAAAAGTTTGGGTTTTGTTTATATCAATCAAAATCTGTCCATGACCACTGAACATTTGGGGGTTTTCTAGGATAGCTAAATACTTCCTGACCCTCCCTTTTGTTTTCCATTGAAATCCTGGTGACAGCTTAACCACAAGAAATCTCTTTCTCACATAGCCAGCTTCATGCCCAATACCAAAACTGCAATAGCTTGAATGACTACGTGAGAGAGATGGATTAACAGCTATAGCAGCCACAGAGACTGTTAAATCCAGCATTCTCACATTGACTGCATTTACCATACTCTGTTTTTAGTACTATTTCTTTTTTTTCCCCTGTTATAAATAAATGTACTTTTGTTCCTTTTGGAGTTTTGCTTGTATTCAGTCAGAGGCAAAAGGAGGAGAGAGATACTGGAAAATTAATTTTGTCTTCACTATTAATGTATTTTAATTATTAGGCTGAAAGAATTCACTGTAGAATTACTAGTGAACTTTTTTAATGACAGGCAATACTTAAGTTACAATCAAAGTGAGTTTTGGGTCCAGAGGTATGCTTTGTTCTCATCTGTGGGTTTATAGGTGGTGAATGATAAGAGAAAGTATGCAGAGAGCAAGAACTGCAGGATGTTTGGGCTGGTACACTATACCTCTTCTGACTTTCCTTCTTACCTGGAAGACTTCAGAGGCTCACTGTAGTGCACCTGGAACTGCACTTTACCTGTGGCAGTGGTCTCCAAAGTGGGGTGCATGCATCGCAGGGGCTGTGCAGTGAAAACCATTGGGATGTGAGAAGGAAATATTAGACCTTTAGTAGTAGATGTATGTAATATGTAAACAGATAAATTATATATGTACATTGGGAGTGTGTGCTCAGACATTAATGATGGTGTGTGTGATCAAAAGCGTTTGGAGACCACTGGCCTACGAGACTTTCCCGAGAACTAGGGAAAAGAAAGAGGAGAAAAAGAAAAAACAATTTGAAGGGAAACTGTCATTATTTTATTAATAACAGCTTTTCTTAAGCTTTCTGTCATTTCTCTGTGGAACATGCTGAGAAGTAGCGCTATGAGTTTAACTGCTGTTGAATTTAACAAAAGAGAGATTTCAAGACTGAATGTTTTCTTTGTCCAGGGGGCCCTCTCTGGTCTTCTCCCTGGGGTGGCTGTGTGCCCTGCAGTGTCACAGCCCCAAGAGACAGAGTGTCACTGGTGATCAGATCAGATGCCACGTAACTTAGTGCGTCCAATCCCTTAGGCTGGAACCTGCCAGGAAATGGTGGATGGTCACTGTTGTTTAAGCTTAAATACCCTTGCACCAGCCACGTACTAATTTAATGTTGTCTCAGGAGTATTATAAAGAACTGGGCTTAGTATGTGGGTCTTACATGTGGAGGTGCTCCATGTGCAAGCGTTTCTGTACCCTACTGAATGATTCAGTGTGAAAATAGATTTCATATTAATATATCTCACTGATGAGCTGCTGTGAAAGCTTGTAAGGAATAATTGTTTGAAAGTTATAATCACTGTTTTTATTTCTTTGAATCTATGTCTGGGGGTTGTCCAGGCAGAGCTTTCCTGGGTGGCGTCTTACAGTGGAAAAGTGCACAGGTGTGTCCCTCTTAGTATCAGCAAAGTGTATGTAGGTATGTGGAAACTGTTGATTTTACATGTAGGAAGGTCAATCGGGCGTTAACAGTTTGCTACACTGAGCTGTACTCCTGTAAGGGCCTCCCCGTTCCTGGGCCCCTGGCTACAGCATGGTGCCATATGAAACAAAATGCTCAGAGCTCATATTCTTGTCTCTCATATATCTGAATTGTTTCTTGAGCTCAGTCTTCCCTTTTGGAAAACTGTTGCCATGCTGAAGTTACTAGTCCCATTTAGTCAAATTCAGACCTGTTAGGAATAGGTAAAATTGGGGTTTATTTTGCTTTTTGAACAAAGCACCATCCCAGAGCCTGCAGTGTTTCACACGAAGCTAGATGTATGGTGAAAACCTTTAAACTGTGGTGAACTGTGATTAAAAACCATGTGTTTTGATCCATTGGTAATGCCCCAAAGTGCAATGGATGCAAAGGGTCACATTTTCAGAGATCTGAGATGCAGACTTACAGGTTTAAATTCACACGAGAATTCTTCTTGTGCTTGAATGATGGATGACGTGCTCTTTGGAGTGTCTGCATTTTGTATGTGCAGAGTGAATTTTCTGTCAGTCTGTGCACAGCCTATTCAAAATCTGCTGGAGTTAATTGAAATCTACTGCAAAATTGAAACATGAAATATGTTTGCCAGGGGCATTTCAGAGAGTTCCTCTTCCTTTCTACACATTTATTTTTCCTGTGAATATTATTACAAACACCGTAAAAACTGCAGGCTAGACTTGCAGGTAGTTTTCATGATGGTATTTGATTTTTTTGGGACACTTAGAAATTATTTTTATGAAATTGAGTAACTCAGCCATTCACAAAATTGATTTCGTTTGGTTGATATTTTAATCCTTTCAACGATATTTCATTTCAACTGTTTAGACACATCCTGTATTTTCTGGTTTTAATGCCATCATCACTATTTCTAACAACTAGAGCTGGCTTAAGAATGAAGTTTCTTGAAGTTTGGGATTTGTTTGCTGACGTTTTATTTCATAGACCAAAAGGCACTGAAATTGCTGGCAGACCAGAAGCTTACAAGATGCTGCAGCTCTTGAGTGAAATGAGTGTTTTAGCTAGCTTCATTTCTACTACCACACCATCAGTTTCACTTAATAGCTGCCAAGGACTTTACCGTTTCTGCCCCTAAACTGGTGATTCTCAAAAAATTGAGCTGTAGGTCTGTCTGTCTGCCTTTAGTTCTGCAGAAGTCTG